CGAACAAGTAATGTTTGAAACCCGTGTGGCGAAGGTGAGATCATATATTGTCATACCACCTTAGGCGAATAAGACACCCTTCTTGTCCATTAACATCATTTCACGCGGTGGGACAAACGTAACACGAAAAGATTTATTAAATATAGTAATATATCCCAATACCATGTCCATACATTGCAGAACATCCGTAAATGCTCCGAGTGAGTCAACAAGTAATACAGCTCAAGGCGCAATGGGAAATTAAATGGGCATTGTGCGATGTTGCTGCTACATCTTTTATCCAACAAACTGAGTAAAGCACGCTCATAAAGGGAATCATTTGGGATGTGGATTTATTTGACTTTTAACAATTTCTCAAAATACTGGGCCAGGTTGCCTTCCCCGTCATTAAATATACAAAATGTCACCCAAACTTCACACAGATATAATGGTAAACATACTGGAACAACTGGACAATGAATACGGAACATTACATTCTTGTCTATTTTTAGACCGTCAAATATGCAGGATAGCTGTGCAAGTTCTCTGGCGAAGACCATTTGAACTATTACGAGATAAAGCCTGGATAGCGTATCCGCATCTAATATCAGTCTATCTCTCTTGTCTATCAGACTCTGACAAGATAACCTTAGCCGCACACAAGATATTCCCGTTTATTTCCATAGCGCCTTTATTCGATTATCCATCCTATCTCGAAGATCTAGATGATAGTTTCGTATACTACGCCATATCTGTCTGGTTCCAAAATACAGCCGGATTCAACTATCAAGACACAGTTCAAGTGACTTGGTTAAGTCTAATGCGAACATTCGCTCAACGATGTACACATCTCCGGCGATTACACCTTGAACTTTCGCTCTACCATCCGTCTGCCATGGCCGCCGACATTCTCTCCCTAATATCGCAACATCAGAGGTCTCTAAATTCCTTCACGGTCGAATTTACGATTTGTGATCCAGAATCAATGAAAAATAATGCGCGGCTAATAGCAAATGTGATATCCGTTCAAAAAACAGGATTGAAAGAGTTCGAAGTATGGCAGGGTGATGTGGACATTGATAAGATTATAGCGGCACTAGAGACACAGTTACATTCTTTAGTAAAGATAAGCTTTGGATTCTGTAGTTTTAATACATATCCACTGCTTTCGTGGGTTGGTCATTTTGCATACATGAAGGAGTTAATGTTTGATAGATGTTTTAACGTAAGAGATGGCGATTTCGAGATTCTAGAAGCTTTCATGACAAAAGTAGTCCATCATCAAAGGATCACTTTCTTGACGAATGATAAACAACACGCTAGCGAAACAGACGTGTATGAGCGAAAACGCTAATTAAAGTATTTAGTATTAATATAATCTAAAAATAACAATGATGTATAATCTTAATAAATTATTATCATAGAGACGAGTCATGTATTCCAGTTAGGCCTAGCTCCTTGATAAACGTGAGGATCTCTGATGTAAAATGTCAATGTAGTAACGTCTTATTATCTTTGCCATAAACTCTGTAAGTACCGACCCGTAAAAATCATACATATATCGACACGAACAGTTTTCACGTTTGGAATCGTCAAGTGCTTATAATTTATCCAGTCACTTTCTCAGATGGTTTCAAAATTGGTCGACTAAGTGGTCCGTACTTGCACTGATGTATAATATTATCTTTATAAATTATATCACTCGAACCGTCTAAATATAAACGTTTATTTAGTATTAATGCATTGCAGGGTTTCCTCTACTCGCGGCATACTATCTACCAAAATTTTTAAAACATGCTCACAAGTTGTTGGCAAGGATTTGCGGTCATAGTCGTGCACTTTCCTTCCCATAAAGGCCATGGAATAGAAGATACTGTAATATTTTTCTCCAAAACTTTACTGTGGGAATTAAACACTCCACGTCATACTTTTCGCCAAAAACCCATTACTGGCTATTATTTTCAAATGGAAGAAATCGGGATTCATTACTCCAAATAATATAATTCCATTCTTCATTCCATTGGATTTACGCGCTTGACACCAATTAATAATTATGTTTATGTGACACAGGATAAAAGACTAAACCAATTTTATTTTGGTTTCTAGCTATTCGAAAAAAGTAGAAATTCCAATTTAAAAAGTGAAGCTGGTAGAGACTTTTGGTGGTGGTGGTGGTGGTGGGGGATATGTACATTGCCATCATGTCGGTCAACAGCCATTTTAATGATTGCGAATGCATCACGGCATACATCTTACTTACGATTGGTTATATTCAAAGTGTTCGCACCGCGTCACAGTTGACATTGATACGTCGATGAGCAAACGATAAAACAGTTGTACCAATACTGCAGGCGCTGACACAATTCTCTGCATGACAGACCATCCATTGACAAATAAGAGCCATCAAAACCGTATGCATCGCAAGATGCAATGCTTAACCAATGGGATTACGACGTAGAGTATGCCGCCATACCACACAATAAGGGCGTGTGAAGGTACTTATTTGAAAATCTGTTGGGTAAAATTGAACCAACACTAACAGCTTAGCACAGTTATTGATCTAAACGATTTCGGTAATCTTGACTCAAAGAGGGATACTATATAATAATAATTGCATCCAACAATCGCACAATTACGAACGTCGCGCATATGCCCCCCCAAAAAAACTATGGAAATCGACGAATAAATTCAGGTAGTAGTAGTGCGTGGATGTCTCTTAATTATTTTTCTCTTTACAATAAGTGCATCACTACTGTATCTCAAACAATTACAATCAGCATACGATTTATATTTAGATCGTATGACAACCTAAATAATAAACTTTTTGTGTATGACTGGCTCATGGTACGTATAATGTAGCAAGTTACGCATAGCATGTTAATACGTAATTATTTGTGCTTATTACAAATAAAGAGTAGATCCGTTCCGAATCGCTGAAGGATCTCGTCCTCTCTCAACTGAAAAAAGATTGTAAAACACTTGGCTCAAATATTTCCGTCACATGATTAATAAATAATTTTGTAGTTTGTATAATGGACGAGGATATTTTAAGAGCATGCTGTAGAGGTAATACACGCAGGTTCATGCAATAAGCAACTGTAAACGCATTTTGCTATGCAAATGTTGTAGAATTTATTTTTAGCAGTGAAAATTTACGACTAGATGCAAAACAAGGTTTAAAGTTGCTTATAAAGAATAGGATATTTTGAAAATAATACTACTAAACTAGTGGTGTATCAATGCTGCGCAGAACCAGCAGAGGGCAAGCTAAATAGGTTGTTAATTTTGCAATACCACACCATACTAATACCATGCAATAACAGCAAGCTACTATTTAAAGTTTCTACTGCATTCATTAAAGGCTATTATATATTGGCTGTTAAAAAAAGACCACCGTTCCCTTCAACCTTGCAGTAAACGCACGATAAAAATAAGACTGAGAACCATACAGCAGCATGATTGTGACATTCAGACAGTTGTGAATCCTCAATCTTTCTGTAGCACCAAGTTTACTTTGCAGTCTGTTGCATTTTTAAGACACTAACTAGATGCTTGGATGGGAAATAAAAATCCCGAAACCTAATCAAATCAATTCAACAAAATAATTATCGACATCGTTTTCCTCTTTAAACGGTATTGTGTAGTAAAAAAAGGAACGACAAACGAACTAGTACAGCCCGTGGGAAGTTCTTTGTATTGATTGTATTGATTGTATTGAATTCTGACATTAGTAACTTTTGTCTGTTGTGTCACACAATAATGTCAATAAGACTTGGTCCAATTTCTATGAACTAACTAAACTGAATATAATAATAAGCCTGTTTAACCTGTATTAAGCTAGTTTACATATGCTTTTCTTTGTATTAATGGCCATCATCACTCAAAGTTTCATATTTCTTTATCGCCAATAATCCATGTTTTATTAATTTCCATAAAAAGCGTGGATATTCACTTACGTAACCATCGTGCATTATAGTGATACAGTCTAGTTTAGTCAAGCCCTTTCGTATGTCATAGATGTCGACTTGTGTGGTTACACAAGCTATTATAAGCAGTATAAATATACAAATATTATATTGTAAATTTCATTATTATTATCGATTATTCTGCTCCGCCCAAACCCCTCATTTACGGAGTTTTTTATCCGTTTTCGCCCTATTCATAACCCCTTATTCTAACCCATTGAAGAGAGGGAATAATCTCGCCATTTTTACCTGCCGTCGAGCCGCCCGTTCTCAGAAACTCTTCTTTGATTCTCACTGTGTCAATTTGGTGGTCGTATGATCTTACTAGTACTAATTTGAAAATATTACTGACATTGCACATGTTCGCTGCAGGTAAGGAAGTGTAAATGCAGTGGAAACTTGGTGTCACGATCGTAGGGAATGTTGGTAGATTACTGGAAAGAGCGGGACAATGACGGGAACTACCGAAAAGGGAGGAAGAGGGAGGGGCGCGCCACCGGTCACAGACCAGTCGCCTGTCAAAGAAACGAAGATTTTAATAATTATCATTTGAACCGGTAATGGCTTGAGCGAATACGCACGATTGAGTACATAGGATCATCTTGATCGACCCATTGCTAATCCGCTACATACTGCGACATCTCGATAATCATTCCGTCTCACCATACACAAACGATCCCTGCAGCTCTGTGTCTCAGCAACGGACAATGCCGTCTAACCCCCCCAACCGCCTAAATGCTGCACCTTAATGCGCGTCGCTACAACTTCACATGACCCAGTTTCACACGAAGCGTTGAAATTGGACTTGGGAGCCTCCCATCATCCAGTGATTTTATGGGGCTTTTGTATAAAATATTGATCGGAATTTGGGGTTTGAAAAAAGCCTTAGAGGCGTTATTAAAAGTTTCTAAAAAAAAAAAGAGCGCTTTTATGAAGCCAATGCGTCAAATTGGCACGAATATCCTGTAAACTATAGAAAATACTTTGCCCTCAATAGAACTATTTCTTCTTATAGAACATATTCAAAACTCATAAATAATAATAAAGAAAAAAAAAATGTCTTCATTACCATCCACATCCAACCATTCTTCGCCATCATCCTCAAACTCGCATTCTGCTTATATCAATGGAAATGCATATGTAGATGAGATTATTAACATTTCGCAGCGCGATAACAAATTGTCTCATGACACTCTACAGTGGATTCCATACGATGAGCTGGAGGATGTAAAAGAACTTGCCAAGAATGACTATTCAAGCGTATCGGTTGCAAAATGGATAAAGAAAAAGAAGCAAGGAGTGTTTAAAAAAATGAGCGGGGGAAAAGCACCAAACGAAGTCGTTGTTTCCGTTAAAACCTTGTTTAATTCAAAATTCGTGTCTAAAGAATTCGTCGAGGAGGTATGGCAACATCCGTGGATTATTATATTTACCAACAGACGACGTGTATAGCTAAACTTGAAAACGTCTTGCCTTTTCCTTTTATACTAGTTCAAACGCCATTTTATCAATGACACATCCGCAACAAAAACCTCTACATTTCACGTATACGGGTTTACTCGCACACCCTCGTCAGACCTCGCTATAATTGCCACCTACTACCCTTCCAATCTCTATGCATACCTCTCATCACACACCTTGACACCTCTTCACAAACTCCGTCTCTTACATACCCTTGCTACCAGACTCTCCACGTTGCACAACTCGAAGCTCACCCACCGTGCTGTGCACGGAGGAAACGTGCTTGTCGACGAAGGGAAGAATGAAGAAAACGAGGCATGTTCCGCAGAACTGGTTGATTTCGGAATATCCTGGACGGACGGTGGAGTATTCGGTGTGCCGGAATATGTAGATCCAAGTATTGTCGTTGGAGGATCCAATGCCTGGGATCAGGCAGATATATTCGCTTTCGGCATTATCATGTGGGAAGTAGCTTACGAGCGCTTTTTCTCTGATGGAGTTGGAAAAGTTCTCCCCAAGCCATTTATAATAGAGTCGCACAACAATGCTGGCCCCAGCAGCACCGCTCCGAACCCCACCAATTCCTTCCATCGTTCGATATACCCTCATCTGCTCACATTGATGGATGATACGATTCCTCCACTCTATGCAAGTTTGATCCGCAGATGCTGGCATCCATTGTCGTCTCGACGACCTAGTGCTGGGGAATTGACAAAAACTTTAAACGTGTTCGTCAAGTCTCTTGAATCACGTGACTCATACCCAGAAATCAGAAGTCAGTTTGATGAAAATTGGAACCATGGACAGGTGAAGAATGAGGCTTTTGCTAACGGATGGAATGGCTCCACGCGAAAGACGTTTATATCGATCGAAAAATGGGACGGATGGAGCGAAATTGTGAAAAAGTGGGAAGAGGATGAAGGTGGGTTATATTTTTCGTTCGTTGGATAGTTGGTTACTGGATTTGAAAATGTTTGCAATTTAGGCTAATCCGAGTATCTTTATGTGTTTGATAATAGCGACCGTTAAGAAATCTGTTATAGGCGGAGGTGAGTATATGATGTATTTATTGGGGGGGATGGTTTGTCTGCCCTCATTGAGGTTCTGTGATATTTGAATCAAAGAAACATATCTCGATAGCAAAGACTTTTTACTCGTCCGTATGCTAAACCATCTCATATTTGTTGTCGTCTCTTAGTAGACAGCAAATCACGCAACAGTGAAGAAATAACTGCGTCATGCACCTCGAAAGGCGATGAAACTGATGATGCTGACACGATAAACGGACAGGAGTTGATGTCTGATGATAATTTGTCGAGGGTTGAACATGGTATGGAAGGAGTGCATGGTTTATTCATATGGGGTATGGTAGTAGCAGTTACATTAAGAGAGAAACAATCAAATAATACTTGCGTATTTATAGGTGATTCGGATGAAGAACATAATAAAGTCACGGGACATGGTAAAACCTTTTGTCATTCATTGTTTTGCTTGCGAGCTATTATCTCAATACCTTGCGATTGACATGGGGTGCTTATTCATTAGTGATACTCTCATTGGACGTCCAATCATCCAAGCTTACGTCTAAAGATGACCACTCAGCTGCGGATAACATAGATGCTGGTTCGTCAACGTCAAATTCGCAATCTTTAGGTTTGTTTAAACAGTTATTCGACTCTATCATGCATCTATCCTCCCTTTTTCTACTTACTTATCTTCCTCTCCTCTGGATCGTATGAAATTCTCAAAGCCGTTTCCACGAATGATGACAAAACAAGCAGCGCATCGTCTGACGCAGATGTAAAAAGCATCCAACAAGCGATTGAGCTTTCAAAGGGTATGTTTTAACATTTGATTTTTAATCGACCCTTTTCTTTGTGGGTCTAACGCATGTTTCTATCATAGGTGATGATGGGAACTTTGCGGTTGGCGATTGGGTAGATGTAAATGGTTAGTACTCCGTGTTTGTTTTGGAAATTTGCAACGTTTAATGTTTGTGATGAGTGTTAATCAAATCGCACACGCTTGGAATCCATAGAAGAGCTGAAGAATATGCAAATTGAAGGAGTTACAGATGGTAAGAGTTTAAACAATTTCATCTGTAGGAGTTACTTGCATAAACGCCTCTACATTGATGTTTCTGACATTATGTTATATTTGTCAGATCAAATGAAGGAAGCTTATAAAGGAAAGACTAAGCACAGAAGGACACCAAATGGTGAGTTAGCGATATAGGACGTTGCGGTTGTTGTTGCAATATAACTAATCCCAACATCTTTATAGCTTCTAAATCCGAAGGATCTCATTCTAGCTTTTCGTCACCGGCCGGTAAGCTATCCAACGCCAAATTTATTGTAACGTGGAACAAGCTGTACATCGTCTCACTTATCGATACTTACCTTTCATTTCCGTAGCATCAATATCTCGACTGCTAAGTCATTCGGTGTCGTCGATTGATAGTAAACGTAATGTGAATGAGGTCACAACAACGGGCAAGGCGATTAAAACTAGGAGCGTGAAGATTAAGGATGCCGATGGTACGTACTCGTATACTAGCTTTGGACGTTGGTTCGATAAGTTTATTTATTTTATGTTTACTTTTGTAGGTATATCTCACGATTCAGCAGAGAATGAATCTGGTGGTAAAGTATTGGTTTTTATATATTTCATTATTTGATTTGCCTTTTTTTTTTCATCACACTCACGATTGTTTCATAGATTCGCCAAACACTAAACAAGTCAAGCGACGCAAGTCACGCGTACTGAATGCTTTTAAGAGTATGAAACAAAAGATTGTAAGCTCGAAAGAAAACTGAGCCGGGACACGATAGTGTTCGTGTATGGTGTCTATGATTAGTATATTATAATGCATTATATGTTTTGAATATGTATTTTTGATATTTTACTTTGTGTATATTGTATTATTATATTTTTATCCATTGTCAATATGCATTTCATATTATTATAAAAATAAACAAATTGGGCGAGTACCCACAATTTATTAATTTTATTGTCTGTAATCGAGCAATAAAATAACGGCCAAGGCCAGCAATTTTTATAGAAGAAGAAACATAATTTTCAAGAATTGCATAGAAGAAATGAATTTTTGCAATCTTTTTTGCTTTTACCTAACGTTAGAGATTTGCACAAGTTGTGATTCGGGAATTACGAATCCATGCAGCTCTGTGCAGTTCCTAAAGATTATGCGAATTGTATGGAGATAAATTTATTTCATAGTGTTATAATGCATCTGAAGTGATTTGTAGTATTCTAAAATCAAATGTCGGATTTGCTGCAGACATCGGATTGCGATGAAATTTGCAATTCTAATTTTAAGATCTTCTATTTTTCTCTCAAGTTCCCAAATTTTGTGGAGTAAAAGTTGACGAAGTCTTAATACGATCAACTATTTAGAAACCATATTAGCCTCATCAGTTAATACGATTTCGAAATTAGATGATGTGACTTTGACATCTGCTCCTTTACTAAATTCAGGAGCCAAGTCATGAGGCGAATTAGAGATTTCCATTCTTTCTAACCATGGTTATTGTCCGTCGACAAATGCACAATTACCAGGTCAATTCATGTCAACTTTTTTTTCAGTTGTCCATTGGAACCTCAGGCTTGTAATTAGTCTTTGTTTTAAATATGTTGGGCAGTTGTTGAGATTCCACGATCAGAACTTTTCAACCACCCACGCAGTCAATGTTAATAAAAGGCGTGACGTAAACAAAACATTCCTGCCCATTTTCTTCATTCTCTTTCTCCGCTTGTTTTTGGTCTACGTCTTCCCAAACAATATCTCTGATCCATTCTCCCCACGAAACGATCGTAATTTCTCCCATCTCTGCTGTCACCCCACTTTCTTGTGCTTTCTTCGCCCTCTTCTTGCCTTCCAACGCCACATCAACGCTCTTTTCCCAAACCCTAAACCTCCTCACTCTTTCTCCTCTCGCTGGATTGTCCAAGGCTTATGACAGAGTGTCACCAACTGTCTCGCTTGCGCACCCCAAATGTAAAAAAATCTGCTGTATAGCTCTCTGCAGTATTCGAGTTGGCAGATCGCAATTAATACCTGCAGAAATAATGGTCTGCGACTACCCATTCTATTGAACTGGCCTTGCGTATGTTTGTTCTTCCAAGTTCACTCGGTTCGGTAGCACGTCCGGCATTTGGTATAATGGTCTACGACTACCCATTCTATTGAACTGGCCTCGCGTATGTTTGTTCACTCGGTTCGGTAGCACGGACGGTATTTGGTATAGAAAACAATAACCGTGGGCATTTACAGTTACCAGCGCCAGATAGAAAGGCAAAAGAGGGAAATGGAAGCGTCGGTGGTGCGGGAGGACAAATAGAGAGACTGAGCACCTCCAAAATGTCTAAAACACTTCAGTCTTCTCCCATCAACAAATATATTATAGACAACGACGACGCAGACCGTTGATCGATGAGCGGATTTTGACGCGTGGCCAATGTTCCTGGCGCACAATAGTGCACCGGTTCTTTTACAAGTTTATGAATACCATGGCTATGCCCAACGAAAACAAAAGTAAACATGCTCATCGTCTGTTGACGATTACAACGATTATGAGACGATTATGACCGATTATGAAGAGACAAAAAAGGTCTGTGCTACTTTTCGACTAGATACAAACGAGGGACAACTGTAGATGATGGATCGCTTTGCAACTCTTGCTGACCGGATCCAAACTTGTTGAATCGAACTATTTCCAAAGATGTGCTGTATTTTTCCCAATCCTTTAGCATAGATTTAGTTCACACTTATAACTGTGACTCTGGAGACAGTCTAAACCTCACAAATCGCAAGCGAGAATGGCGAAAGAGAAATCTCGAATGTTGCAGGCACCTTGCTGCCTTTTGCTGACTGCACCTTGGTAAGGCGGAGGTCCTCTATTAATGTCATGACCTTCTCATATCTCCATGTCCAGATGTTAATAACCTTCACATTTTTTGATAGGCTTCAATTTTGAAACGCGTGGTAGCCAGACAATTCGAGCCCCTGACATCATTGTTAGTGTGCATAGGAAACTTGACAATATCACTATGAAAGGCTTATTATTATCAGTAAAAGAGCAAATAATTTGCTTTGCTAGTTGATTTGCTTCTATAAAATAGCACTGATGTTTGATGATGATGACAAAAATCCACTCCCCTGACAAAAGTCTCTTAGTAATATCGTGTGTTTTTAATTGGCGGTCGTCATTGATCATTATATAATGATATTAAGTGACAGGGGGATACGGATTTTTGGGTTAATAGAGGGGAAGGGAGGGGTTTCGATCAGTGAATCCACATATTCTTTTTGATATTATTATAACTAGAGTTAGTACATTGCTGGGGAATCAATGTTGGGTATAATAGAGAGAAGATTAAATATCACTCTCTTTCTAATAAGTTGTCAGTATTATATAGAACAAATAGCCGATCTTGGCTGATGTAGTCCCTTGTAGTTGGACAAGAATACATATTCGTCTGTCGTTTGAATAGACGAACTGTTGTTTAATTCTTCGAAGACGCAAAATCGATTTTTGTCGTCAATCATTAGCAATGAAACAACCAAGAATCCAATGCTCATGAAATTCATACACTTATATAAGCTTCATGCGTATTGGATTCTTGGTTGTTGTCTTAGTGCTGATTGACGACGACAATTGATTTCGCGTCTTCGAATAATCAAGCCAATCGGTATATCCAAATTCAAATCGTACTTAATATTCTGGGTCAATTCATTGCACACACGTTGGCAACAGTTACGCTTAACAAACATACAAGCTTCATGAGTATTGGATTCTTGGTTGTTGTCTTAGTGCTGATTGACGACAACAATTGATTTTGCGTTTTCGAGATCATTATAATATACAGTATATACCATACGTCCCAATTTCTCAATACACTATCACAATATTCTTTTCAAACGAACGTCTATTTCATTGCAAACGCGAAAAAGTAAATCGGAAGGTAAAATTTTTATTATAACTGTGTCAGGTGAATGTGACATTCTATACCTTGGTTATGCGGAGAAATTCCAACCCCTTACATATATGTCTTCGGAAAACACACTTCCTATTCAATTTCGTGAAATGTTCAGTGGCTATATCTGGGAACAATTCGTATCGGGAAAATGATTTCTTACAAGTAAAAAACATTAAGAAACAAATAATATATACCTTCCTATTCATCTCTAAAAGCTCCTTTTGTATGCCACATCCCCCCTCTGAATTTCCACCTGCTCAATCTGCATTCTCATAATCTCGTTTCTTAATTCCCTATTTTCCCGTTTCGCTTCCTCTCTCCATCTTTGTATTTCCTCCCTTGTCTCCATTTCTATTCTTTTTACAACCAAATCAATCTCTTCCCTTGTTCCCCATCCCCCATTATTGTTAGAGCTATCGAGTGGATGAGACTCGATAAAGTTGATCAAATCCGAATATACATTTAATTCATCCGTTAGGATGATATTATATTCGGACGGTCTTTTGCGCAAATTATTCTATTTTCGGATCGGGCTACCAAGATAGCGATAGCTGTCTTTTTTATCGTATCTTGATATAGTCCTTCCATTTCTTCAGATCTTATCCTCATCTCACCCTATAAGTAAGTAAGAACTTTATTATTTCTACTCATAAGATAAAGATAAGAAAGGGGGGAAAAATCAGAACAATATTTACCTTACACTGTCCTATTATTGTGCTCCCTAAAACCCCCACTTAAATCAATTCCTCCGTCGCCTGGTTCATGCCTATTTATAAAATAAATGAGTATATGTGTCATAATTATTATCTGGTAGTCACGGCAACTTTTCGGTAACGGTTTGAACGTTCACAGCAGGCCGTCCACCGTACGCCAGGGCTGGGTACCTGACTGACGACTTTCGCAAGCTGTGGCCACGAAGCGCTTTCATTTACACCTAGTGGCAGCGTACCTTCAGATACACAATAATCAACAAATACTCAGTGAAAATTCTCACCTTTCCTCATTCCTTTGAGAAACCTCTTCTATACCCCGTGAAATAACTACCATTCTATATTGAGGTTGATAACTCCTCATCTTTTCAATAAGATTTCCCTTGTGGGCGAGAATAATATCAACCTTTGATGATTCCGCACAAGCATAGGCATCTTTAGTGAAATAATCAGCCACCAAGATACCTACAGCCCCTGGAGCAAAATCATCAACTGCTCCTCTCAGGTGTTTATGTTGAATGAAGTGAGGACCTTTAATATAGTTAATGTTTATAATTTTACATTATTATTATTGTCGAAATAATTAATAAATTCGTATAATAATAATTTAATTACCAATTCCATCCTCATATTTTTTACATTGTATTGCATAGTCTACACCATTATGGCATACTACTATGTCAATACCTCCGTCACCTGGTCCGTTACTATAAATAAGAATAGAATGAATAAATGTGTCATCATAATCAAGAACCATTTGAAGAACGTTCACAGCAGACCGTCCATCGTAAGCCAGGGCTGGGTACCTGACTGACGACTTTCGCAAGCTGCGGCCACGAAGCGCTTTCAATTTCTCCGATTTACGCCTAGTGGCAGCGTACCTTCAGATACATAATAATTCAACAAATACTCAGTGGAAATTCTTACCTGTAACGGCGGACCTCAACACCTCTCAACAACATTCTTACTTCATTTGCGAATGGATCCATATTTAAAATACGGTACGAACGTTAGCAAAGTTTGAAAGATTAACAGTTACACAATATGTGTAATGTGATCAAAATTCTTATTCGTCGATCATATGATTTGTATTTAATATACGGAGAATTTTAACAAAATAATTAAAAAACTTATTTATCCTCTTACACGACTCTTCAATTCTATCATACTGCTCCTCAATTCTATTACACCTCTCCTCAATTCTATCGAATACATCTTCTAATTCCTTCATTCCTTTGGGAAACATCTTCTATCCCCTGCATACTTTGTCAACATTGATACTAATACATCCTTATCACATTAATGAGATCTCTTTTATGTGTAAGGATGATATCAAACCTCGACGATTCAGCCGCTTTGTAGGCATTATCAGTAAACTCTTTTGCTACTAATATACCTACAGTGTAATCTGGAGGGCAATCATCAAATGCCCCCTCAGCTGTTGGACAAAGTCAGGACCTACTAATAATAATGATATGGTTTATTAATAGTAATAGTAATAGTGATAAGTGACGCCATCAGTCATAACGATAATTAAATAAATAGTCTACTGACTCCAAGCTAGTCCCTTCATATGAAATTTCTTTATTTTCTATATCAGCAACTGCATCTGATATAAACACAAAATTCGTTAATCGTTTGAGAAATAAACTCTTATCTATGGCTAACAATCTCATATTAATCACATCCTTCTCTCTCACTAAATATTACAATTATATAAAACTTTATTCTGGTACACAACATACCGCAAGTGTTCTTCTGTATGTTTAATTACCCTCTTCTCCTCTTAGCTAGGGTCCACCATCCAACACACATCATCCCAAATATGCTAAAAGTGTTATCCCATGTACTTTTTACGCAAACTGAACGCAATTATTCTCTTGCTCAAAGTTTTTCTCTTCTTCCTACATGGTTTGAATTTTGTGATGACAGATGGCATGATATTATTGTAATATTCATGCAGTATATATAATTTCACAGCTCAATACGTTCTTCGAATCTTAATACCTTATAGATGGAAGCTTGACAAGAAACTTCGTTTTTATGAGAGAATGCGCCTAATAATACGCTAGTCTTAAATGTTATACTAAACAAGTTTGTACATTAATTAGGGTTCGCAGAAAGTATTAGTGTGTTAACTTGTGTATTTAATATATTAATATTCAGAGAGGGAGTATCGCTTTATCTTAATAATAAATAAAAATGAACTGTGAATGGCTGTTCCGTAATAACAATCGGTTGAGTTTTATTACTATTCCTATAACTATGCATTATGAATATCTAATATCTGTGTACGTCATATAGACAATCAGAACGTATTATCCCACAACTTGCAGCTAATGATTGCTCAAACACGATACATTATGTTCTAGCGACCTCGCAAACGTATAGTTGTTGTATCGATGAATTTCACATAATAATAATGATGAGAATTTTTACTATTGTTACAGTTGGGAATTAAATTAGGGGTTTGGGAGAGCGATTTTATTTTTCGCGTAGGTGTGTTCGCCGACCGGGGGATGTTACCAGGCTTAGCTTGTACTATCGCCCTTACTATGATAGTTGTACAATTAAGACTATTTAATTATGCGCGCTTCTCACTCCCTATCCGAGTTTCAAACACTTGTGAATACAAATAAGGGTACCTCTAATAAAA